ATAGTATATTCGATGTTATAGATAGCCAGATAGGTAATGCACTCGGCTATGTATATTTGATGTAGAAAAATATACATTATTGCTAATTTAAGTTAAATTACTGGTACCTAAATGTAATCAATCACCGTCAWAAGGTGGGGTGTTAAAAAAACTGTCTGTTCAACGATATGCACATTTCTTTCACTTTGCAGTGACGGATAAATGATAATCATATATCATAACCGATGAAAAAATATTCTTAAAGGATAGACATTTTATTTAGAACAACAATTTAAAATTAATGCTTTACGGTTTTTAAAATTTATTTCAAAATTAGAGTTTTAAGAATTTTTTATCACATTCACGTATATTATAGAATTTGCTAAATTCTCGACTGGCTTAATTACCTTACATGGACAAAATAGAAAATCAATATAGCATTGATGATATTCTTTTAATTTGTAGATGCTGAAGAATTTCACATCACAAYCAATTTAATCATATTTTAATATATACATTTTCATCTTATGGGTTAAAAATTATATTAATATTTTAGTCAAAATACAATTTCAATGCAATATAATAAAAAAAAACTCATAACTAATATACTGTATTGTCTTAATTCTTTCCATGGGTTGCTAGTGATATTATTGGGCAAAACAGAAAACAATTTAAATATTTTRATCTTTTTTTTTCGTGATATCGACGACGCTGCCAGAACTGCTTGCGCATTACGTCAACACTAAATATTTTGATCTAAGTATTTGAGTAAAAATCTGAAAACTTTAATTTAAGGCTAGTTTTTTTTTTTATTATGACACATTTTTAATTATATACAAGGAATTGTATTGCAATGTTTAAAATCTAAACTATTACAAGTTTATTGAGTAGAACGATCATTAATTATAATTCTTGTCWGTTATCACATGTCCAAATATAATAAAAATATTGTATTTTAGAACATTCAAACGATTATTTTTGTATAATTAAATGAAGTACCTAATTGATCATAGTCTTTAACAAATCAATCTATTGGTTAGGTATAGGTAAGATAATATTATTTTCTTTATTAATAATATACACAATTGGCACAATAAGAGTATGAGCTAATTAACAAAAGGTAATAATTTCATATTATATTTTGTATAATATTATGCATAATATCTAAACCATACGTTATTTTCAATATTCGTTATGAAATATATAACTGATATTATTGTCATTTTAGTTTATATTTTACAAATAACAAAATTATTTTTTTTATTAGCTTACAGTCAGAGATTATTATAGCTCGACAATTAAATAAACATAATCATAATTTTATCGGTTTTAAATATTCACGGATATCTTTTTTTTAAATAGGCACAAACGTAAGTCAATTTATTATTTATTGTGTAAAATAAATCCCTAAAAATACATGGTTGTATTACAATTTTTGTTTCTTCTTTATAACAACCTGAGTCATAAAATACATTTAATTGGTATTTTACAATGAAAATAGTCAAATAATAATAGGTTAAGCTACACTGTTAGAGGAGTATGCACATATTTTAAAGAAACAAAAACAAGTAACTTTCAAACGTATAGACTGTTTAAACAATACGTTTTAACACCTGTACAAATTAATGTGCTGTAGTTTTTAGTAAAACTGAACACAACAATTCGCTCAGTCGGTGTATGTTTCAGTTCAAGGTATAATGCATGTTACCATCATAACAAATCGAATGAACTAAAACACATTACGTGAGTACCTATGCTATATAAATACTTTTTGGAGATTTTAGTCCATATAGACCAGTGGTTCGATGAATGTATACAATATACATATTTATTAAGTTACTATATAATGTATTTATATTTAATTTGCTATATTTATTTGTGTAGAACTAAAACAAAATATTAAAAATCCGAAATGCATTACATTATATATTAGTATACCGTAGGTATTTAGCGGTGCATTGTTTCATAACTAATCAATATTTATAACACGTTGGCCATAATCAAAATAATAAATTTAAGTATAATGCCTATTTTAATTTAAAATTAAATTCAGTAATAATATTATAGTACCTATAGTTAAAGTACGTTTTAGTAATTTTCACTTTAAATATCGTAAAACTTTAATATGTAGGTCATAACTGAATATCAAATAAGCTTAACTATAAGTAGTCACCAGTGCCGCAACTTGGTACATATTGGTGGATGTGTGACCAAATATATAAGGCACATGTACAGTGGCGCAACAATGTGGGATGGTGGAGGTGGGGGCAAAGCTTCCGCGAATACGATTCAGACCCCTTCAAAAAACATTCCTTATTTAGATATAAGCCACTTATAAGTTATTTTAAATTAATAGTTTTGTTAGGTGTGCTGTATAGCCCCCCCCCCAGAAATTTAACACTAGTTGAGACCATGTTCATGTACCAATAGGTCATTAA